GGCGAGGGGAGGGCGACGCACCCGTGTGCCCCCCTCCCAAAAAGGCAGGGACCCCCCCCCCCCCGCCCAGCCTGGCGCGTTGTGTCCCCAGCCCCTCTGTGTCCCCTCCCCAGGCCGTCATCAACACCATGTGCGGGCAGGGCATGCAGGCCATGGGCTACCTGGAGGCCAGCGCCTTCATCCACACCAACGGCTGCATCGACAAGCTGGTCAACTGGATCCACAGCAACCTCTTCCTCCTGGGGGGCATCGCCCTGGGGCTGGCCGTCCCCCAGGTACCGGGGGTCCCCTCCCTGGGGACTGGCGGGGAGAAGGGACCTGTCCTGCAGCGCCGTGTCCTGTGGGAGTTGCCTCAACGATGCCCCTTCGTTGCAACCCCCAGGAGTCGGGGCAGGGTTTGGGGTGGGGGGAGCGGTCGGGCACGTCCTCGCCTGGAGATGTGGAACCTGCTCCTGAGACAGCGGGGTGACACTGCCTGGTGTCCCTCACCACCCTCTTCCTCTTTTTCCTCGCCTCCTCTTTTTCCTCGCCTCCTCCTCTCCTCTTCTTCCCCCTCTTCCTCTCCTCTTCTTCCCCCTCTTCCTCTCCTCCTCTTCTTGCCTTCCTCTCACCTTCCTCTCCTTCTCCCCCCATGTTCCTCCCGTCTTCCTCTCCTCTCCCTCCTGCAGCTGGTGGGCATCCTGCTGGCTCAGATCCTCATCAACCAGGTCAGAGACCAGATCAAGCTGCAGCTCTACAACCAGCAGCACCGCACAGACCCCTGGTACTGAGCTCCGGCACGTCGCGGTGGAGCCGGCGTCCATCCTCGTGGCGCAGCGGTGGCTCGGGGAACCGGGACCTCAACGATGATTTTCCAAACCCTGGATCCGTAGGAAGAGCTGAAGGGGTTTTGCTGGAGAAGAGGGAGGTTGGAGTGGGCTGTGGGCGCCCGGATCCACGCGCGGTGGCCACTGGGCTGCAGAGAGGGATGCGCAGGGACGCTGGGGACTCCGTGGCTTCGAGAGGCGGTGCCGGGCTCGGCCGGGACGTGCCGTGCTGCTGCGCCCTGTCTGGGGGACTGAAGCAGCCCTGGTGAACCACTGTGTCTGTCTGTCTGTCCGTCCTGGGGGACCGAGAGCTGGTGTGCAGGTCACGCGCGAAGCAGGTTTGCACTCGGGACGTGCTTCTCTTGTGCTGGAGATGGGCATTTGTCTCTCTGTCCGTCTGTCCGTCCATGCACCGAGCTGCCTTCACCCGGGGCAAGGCTGGCTGCAGAATTGGGGACGTTCCCTGCCATCGCTGGGTGCCACAAACCCTGTCGGCTCCGTCTCAGCGCTCAGTGGGGAGGACAGCCGAGGGCTTCGCTTGCCGGCCGGCAGCTGGAGCTGTCGCCTGCGTGTCCACCCTGGAAAAAGAAGGAAGAGGAGGACGTCCTGCCCTGGGGCTGACCCACGGGCGCTTCATTAGCCAAGGGCGGGGGTCCCCTCTCTGCCCCGGGGTGGCTGGAACCCCTCCGTGTGAAGGAAGGGACAGGCGCAGCCCTGCGTCCCCTCTCGTCCCCTTGGTGTCAGGCTGTGATGTTTCCCTTCGCTTTCATGGAGAATAAAAAGGGACGCAGCCGGACCCTGCCACCTCTGCTGCGCCGGGGGCTGCTCGGTCACCGGGGGGGACAACACGGCACGGGGGGACAACGCCA